AGAACCTTGCATTTTTGCCTTCCTTTGACATTGCCCTGTTTCTAGTTTCTTTCTTTGCTTTCCATGCTAGCTGATAGCTCTTCTTTCTTTTTATGTCCTTTGATTTCCATCTGCCCTGGTCTACTTGTAGGTAAAGTGTCAAACCACACAGGTATCTTAATATGCAACAAGCTGGTGGAGAACCCTTACTCTCTTGCTGTTTACTAAGGTTCCTAGAGTGCTTTTGAAGTGTAAGAATCCTTGCTGCTCTCAGCTAGGACTGCAGACTCTAATGTATAGTATATAGGGACAGAGTGGAGGACAAAGATGGATGGAGCAGATGGTGGAAGGGCTCAAGCTTTCTAATCCTATACTTTTGAAAATACTCATTCACCTGAAAATGTATTTTACTTAGGACAAAGCTAGTGATCACTCACTGAAAATGTGACTAACTTGAAGGATTATAATGCACATAATGACTTGCATTTGTTTCCAATTTTCAAAGCACTCTGTTATTTTGGTAAATGAGAACTATACACCATTTAAAACTGTCACTGTTGATCTGATTCATGTGTTCTCTTTATAAAATGAATTAATAGTTTGCGCCTTTCTTAACATAAGATATTGTTTTAAAAATTACGATAACTTATCTAAGCTTGGGAACTTGCTTAATAAAGTTCCAGACACAAGCAAGAATTATCTATAGTCAATAAAAGTCAAGATTCAGAAGAATATTTAATGACATGAGAAAATTCTCACAAAATATTGTTAAACATTAAAAGCTGGTTAAAAAGCCACACCTAGTATAACCCCAAATTTGTAAAACAACAGAGATGTAAAGATAAAAAGAACTGAAATACAAGAAAAATGATAACAGTGTTTCTCTTTGGGAGAATGGAATACAAATGATTTTTAAAAATTATTTGTAATTTTTAAAATTATAAAATTTTTCTCTTTTTCTGCAAAGAACACATAGGGATTTTACGAGAATATTTTTATGTTAATATTAGACTATTTCCTTTTACTTTGTAGGATTCTGAGGCTGATTTTTTTAAATAAACCACAGCACAGACCAAATCTATAGAGAAATTTTAGTGAGATCATTAGATTTTCTATTCTTCCTTTGATGGAACCAGGATGGTAGATGAGTTCCTGCCTTATTTCTCCCATTAGGGTTCAGTATTGCAGGAAGGTCCCTGGTTCACATCAAGGGTACACATCAAAATGTAGTGACCTGACTGAGTTCCGTGGAGCTGGGCAGGTCCAGTCAGCTCCTTTCAGGTTCCACCCCAGGGGTTTATGCAGCTGCTGAGGACTCGTCCTTATGGGACTGGTGGAACATTGTGGTTCCTGGAAAGAAGTTCAGGAGGATGGGAAGGACAGGAGGAGAGAAGCCTTCTAGAAATTTAGAGGAGAATCAGGGCCTCAGTCAGTGCAGAATTATCTGAAGGGTCAAGTCCTAGATGTGTTACCAGGAGTAATGATTGAGCAGATCACCCAGTTGGCCAGCTGGTAAACCAAACATAAAGTAAGGTCCAATTCAGAAAACCCAGAATGGACAGTCTTCAGGGAGTTTCTCAGGTTGCATGCGGGCACAGAAAGGAAGAATGCATTCTGCTGTAGTGCCCACTAGGTGGCAGATCTTTTCCTAGCCAGAGATTTGAAGAGTGGTCTCAAACATTCATGGCACTGAGATCTTTTAAGAGACACCAGGAGGTGGCTAAAACCCAGCTTCCTGGGCCCCTGTACACAGCTTTTTTGATTTAGTTGTCCAGGGAGGGGCCTCAGATTCTCATTTCTAGCAAGCTTCAGTGATGTTAGTGCCACTGAATTGTTTGATACGTTGAGTATCAAACATACCATTTCAGATCCTGGGAAGAGACGAGGTACAAGGAAAAGACTGTGATCCTTATGGTAGAATGACCAGTCCAAATGGTGACAGCAAAACCTAATGGAAGTACAGCATGGAAACAGAAGGCGGGCTGGCTTGGGGGAGGGAATGGGCCCCAGTCCAGAGCCTGAAATAGCCTCTCATGCTAGAATAGATTTGGATTAAGGGCTCTGAAGCAGAATTTAAGTGCTCTGCGGCTGTCAACCTAGTTGAAAGTGTGACTGGGTATTATTCAGGATGTGTGGAGCAGATAAGCAGCACAGGTATGCAGGCTAAACTATAAGAAGTCAGAGCAAAATGAAAAATATCAGATACACACTAACAATAAGCCTAGAGAAAAAATTGAGCAAATATTATAAACATAAATGATTCTCTACTTTAAATGAAAGGCCTTTAAAAAAATCTCATGTAATGCATGGTTCTATTGTGTAAGAACCAGAGTTTTCATAGTTTTGGCCATGCATGTTTGACCAGGCAAGACTGAAAACACTCAATACCGACACCTTGCACAGTAAAATGAATCTACTGATGATGCATTTGGATGCCAGTGGCAAGGCTAAAATACTATCAAAGTTTCTAAAGCTTACTCTTGTTCTGTATTTTCATCAGTAGAGACTGCTAATAAACAATTTGCAGAAAGTACCAGTTCAAGACAACACTTAAGAGGAACACTGGTCTAGTCTGCTGATTACTGATTTTGGAGATCGCATTATTTCAGTCAGTTTATTGTTTTGGATTCCTTACTGCAGACTTAAATTCTGGTATCCTTCAGGACCATTTGGTTCTTATTCATTATGTTTGGTATCCTTGGAGTCTATTGGGTTTAATTGCTATTTTCTGATGCTTGGACATTCAGGATAATGTCCAACATAGAACAAACAATAAATACTGATGGATGAATTCATGGAACTGGAGTCCAGAATGATATAACTGCTTGAGAGATATACAAACATCTATTGGAAATAAATGCTCAGTATAAAAGTTGACATTAAGTAACAATTTCCTTTCAGTACCTATATAAAGATAGCAGACAAGTAGAACACGTAGAAAACCAACTCCAAAGAGAAAAATCAGACTAATTGCTTTGTTTTCCTGGCTTCACTAGTGCCTCAGTAAATATAGATGTTCATTGAGAAATTCAGTTTATAAGATTCTTGGGCCATGATTACATCTTTGCCTAGTGGCATTTTCATGCTAAAATGAGGCCTTATGCCTACCTAGGACAAGGTGAACCCTAGTGGTTATCTCTGGAAACCACTACAGAGTTTATCTTAGTTATGTTTCTTTTACTACTAGAATAATAAGGACACACTTTAATAATCTCAAAGAAAGAGAACTGAAAGAATACTCTAACCTCCATGAGACATTTCTGTCATTCGCTCCTTGTTCAATCTTTATCAGTTCATAAGATTGATGTGATTTAATGATGCATAGTAACAAGATGGTCACAGGAAAAATGATACTTGTTATTTAGACAGCAGTTTATGTCAGGTGCCAATGGCAAACAAAGCAAATTTAGTTCATGAGTGCTGAAATGACGAGTCACTAGTTTTCAGTTGGTGTTTCACTATAAACCAAGAAAAGAGTCTGTATAATTTGCAAATACATAGGCTTGCTTCAGCAGCAGATATACTAACATTTGAAGATATAATCTGGTCACAAATGATAGGACTGAACCTCAGTTTATTTCAAACAAATGTACACATGTACATGCACACAGACACAGACACACCTGTCCTATACCCTCACTCCTTAGAAAACCTTATTTTACTCTTTTTCAAAATATCCCTTTCCACTTCTTAAATCTCCTAAATGATAAATATGAAAGACAGTTCAAACACAACATGCATAGTTTGGACTGCATTCAATCAGAGGTCATACCACTAACCATTACCTTTCGATAACCCTGTTTTCAACTAAAACAATCTGTATACTCAATATTCCAGGTAATGGGGTTGTTACAAAGAGCTTTAAAGTGCTTTCAGAAAAGCTAAAAGACCCTAACTCTTCTGTAAACATGATTACTATAACTGTGTGTTTATGTTCAAGGTAGGATAATTGGTAAAGTCTGAATGGCTTATAATAGAAGCAAAAAAAATTTTTTTTGTTGTTACATATGATGGCAAGATCAAAGATACAATTAAAACTAGCATATTAAAAATCCGTAACAAAGCACTCAAGACAACCTTTTTAAAATTAAAAAAACTCCAAATTAGGAAAGATGGGAAGTTACATGAGGTTGGACATTTAAACACTTAAATAGATTTCTTGGATACTTAAAAGTGCAAATTCATTTAAAAAGCACAGATTTTGGGGAGCCCTAAGACAAAGTGATCAGCACAAAGACATCTGTCAGGCTAAGGGCAACCTGAGGTAAAGAACAGCTAAATCTTATGGGATCAGGACATTAGGGCAGTTTAACCTTTTTTTTTTTCCCCCTATGAGGTGACAACCTACTAACACTTTAATCTTTCCATTCAGGATGATGACACAGGATTTAATGAGCAAAAGAAAACAACTTAAAACCTTTCTTTTGTGCATGAATTATCTGTTTGGCATTGAAACTGCTTTAATTGAAAAAAGAAAGGTAGACAGTTGGGTGCACACACACACACACACACACACACACACAAACACACTCATTTCAAAGCAACTAGTTATACATGCAACAGTGTTTCTACTTAGATCCAAAAATAGAAGTAAAGCCAAGACTAACAACCCTTGTGGTAATTAAAGAAAAATGTTTTCCTCCCAAGTGGCCCAACCAATATGAAACTGAAAGGAACTGCTTTCCTCTAGGATCACACTTGTTTATTTATGTCTAAAAGAAGAGTTGAGGATGAAAACACCGTGTGACCTAACAGAGACAGCTCATTTTATGCCTAAATCTTGTAATCTGAACAACTACTTTGAAGATAACAATATGCAACATATCAACTAATGTTAATTTCCTATTATTTTGTTTTGAAATTCTATATCATTTTTATCCTTTTTGTTTTTAAAATAAAAACAAAACAAAAAAGAAAACCCATGGAAATCATCCACTGGAAAAAATACAGATGACTGCACATGATGGATTATTTTTCCTTGCTGAAATATGTGATAAAGGTCTAATAAAAATATGGTTTACCTTTACATTTCTTCTCTTCTGTTTGGAAGGTCTGAGCACTAGAGATGCTCTGATCATTTACATCATCATGGTCCAGATGAAATATGGAGTTTGTCCAAGTGGCCGGGATGAGGTGTGGCGATGATTGCTCATTTTTCAGTGTGCCGCACCTGTCTGAATGGCTCTTCCTGTGGAGGCAGGCTTCGGACATTCCTACTAGCTTCCAGTCCTGCTCTTGGTCTGGACAGCGCTTTGGTTTGTCCCAGGCTGGAAGGCCATTTTCTGGAGGGTTGAAAAACATGAGATGTTGAGCTGTTGGCATTGTGAAGATTTTGCTGAGATGCAGAGTTTTGGAAGACAAGTTGTTTCTCAGTTCTTTTGGGCTGACAGTTTTCACATGCACCTCCACTTGACAGGCAATGATAAAATGCAGAATTTGTCAGCCTTAGGTATTTACCACTGCAGGTAGATTGCCTGTTGGAGTAATCAACACATATTTTTCCCCTATTGTTAATTCCTAACAAGACATTAGTTCCTCCACAGCAAGACTGCACTATGGCTAGTCCCACTTCCACGGCAATGGCCTAAGAGCAAGTTTACATCAGTTTATGTGACTGATTAGATGACCATTTGAGGTCTTGAGAGTCTGGGCTGGCTGTGATCTCAGGTCAGAGCCTTAGGACATAAAACAGCCAGGCTACAGCCTTGTTTGACTTGGGTTTTACCACAGGCTGACCTGAGTGACACCTTATTGCTTAAGTGGGACATGCTCACGTGGCCCACTGAGAATGACAACTTGTTTTTACGTGGAGAGTGATGATTATTCTTATCATCCTGATGGCAAAGTCCCAGGGGGGAAAAAATCCACCACAACAACTAAAAGAATACATTGAAAAACTGGATCTTACAAACAGAAGTTTTGCCAGTGGTTTCAATGTGGGCCCAAGTTGGGAATGCGATCAGAAGAAAGGAGGCAGGTAGTGTGTTTTTGCTACACGGAAAATGAAGAATCCTAGTAATGAAATGATGAGTCCAAATTCTTTGGCTGGGTTACTATGTAGCTAATTATTTATGTATATTATACCTTTTTTCTATTCAATTTATAGCGACTTGAGGGCCTGTCTTCTAGAAAATGGGAAACAAATAGAATAATATTTTATAATTAAGAATTTCTCATACTATGCTCTCCTGGTGTCAAATTTTACTTCTTTTAATATCTTTACTGTGGGTGAGTATAAAGTATAAAAATAAGCAAGTGTACATATGCGTATGTAGCTCCCACATATTGCATATATTTAAAAGAAGTCTGGTCATCCATATTTCCAGAAATTCTTAGACCACCATCAAAATTAGAAAAAATATACTAACAGTGGTCATATATACATACATATATATATATATATATATATATATATATAATTTATATGTGAGTTTTCATTTATATTGAAATTACAGAAATATCATAGACACCCATATCTATGTGGGTGACTTAAAGAGTCAACTCCATCCTGACTTGTGCTTATCACAGGGGATTATTAACTGCCTTTCCAACATTTAAAAGGAATTTGAAATTATTTAATAAAAAGATTGATATGTTTTAGGTTTTCATAAACAGCCCCTCTAAAGCTAACAGATGTCTTTAGCTGAGGTTGAGCAGGGGGTTTTCTCCCCAAGTTTAAACTTTTCTCACTTTTTGAAGTTGTGTTTATGCTTGTGAGTCTGCATGTTAGTCTGAGACACTTCTGATGCTTATGCACATTCTACTTGTACTGTAGAAGATCAGAACCAACAATAAAAAAGGGAACAATCAGCATGGTATTTATTTGTCACACTAAATGGAAATGCTGTGACTTGAAGTAGCTTAAGTTAGCCAGTAAGAAATGTGTTCTTTTAAAACATATCATGTATTATTAGCTTTTGGGGCACCATTTGATCTTATCAAACAAAATCTCTCACAATTCTGGCATTATTCACTGCATGGGTGAATAAAAAAGATCTGGGTTGAGTTCTTCCACTTTTCAACTGCATTGGCTACCGGTGCGATTACAGACACTTATTCTTATTATCCATTTAAAGGAAAAACAGATTGAAATCTTGGGAGATTGTATTGCATTTCAAGATAAACCAATCTATGTAGAGCTTATTCAAATGCCTATTATCCATGAAGGTTTAAGGTTTTCATGAGTTAAATATAATGTGACTGAAAGCATGGCTCAATTCTGGGTCTAAGGAGAATCATTTTATTTCTATAGACATGAACAGCCTTCACACTGATGCATGTTTCTAGTCTACTTTAGAGACTTGGTCTAAATCTTCAACTAATTGGACCTTGTAATGCTCAGTTTAAGTAGTGTAACGTTAAAGTTCTTGCACTATTTTTTAAGGCTTTCACATTTAATTTTTCTGCAGAAATTCTTAAATTGGTACTAATTTCCCAGCCCCAACAGAAATTAAGAAGCTCAGCCTAACTGAGTAGTTACTGCTGCCCAGTGAAGCAGTACATAGATGAAATATGCTGAAAAGCACTACATCCAAAGGGGGACATTCTTCCTTGAAGCATGGCCCATTACAATGTGCTCAGCAGGTCCCTTGAGCCAGCAAGAAGGGAATTTATTCTAAGCAAGGGAGGCTATGTTTGGGGTAAGGCAAGGGATAGGATTGCCTTTCACTTTTCTCAGAAAAGTGCTTGAGATGGTTTGGGAAAAGGGCTCCATTCATGGGAGGCATTTACAAGCTTATAAATACTGTCTGTAATTACATTCACAATAATGATATTCAGTTGCTTAATTGGCAGGTTTATTGGTTGGGGCAGTGTTGGGAGACCTGGAGACTGAGATGTCCTAGTTGGGTCATGGGAAAACTCAACAGGAATTTATTTTAAAAGAATTCTTGATTCTTATTCTCTCAAGAAATGGGTGGGTGGGGACACATTGCAGGTCCTATTCCATTCCCGAGAGGATGAGACATCCATTACACCAAACCCCTTAAATCTAACCACTTGGTGTGTGATCCCTGATGAGAACTACAAGGTACTTCCACATACGTATGGTTGGTGATGATAGTTTTTTTTTTTGTTGTTGTTTTTTTGTTTTGCTATTACCATGTCAAGTGTCCACATCTTTTGGTCACTCCAAAGCTTACACCAAGGGGATAGTTCTTTTTTTTTTTTAATTTTATTTAAGAAGAAAAAGAGAAAAACACAAAGTGTTCAAATCCTAAAGTTTCAGTCAGTAATTCTCATTCTTTGGTGTGTATCAGGACCATGTGAAGTATTATAGTCAGGTGAAGACCTGATTTCTAAATTAGTATGGGGGCTAGGTACCTGTATATCTGCCAGATTCTCCAGTATTGTGATACTTAATAGCATTTAAGATTCCTGAGGCTGAGATACATTTAAAGTAAAAAAAAAAACTGATTATTGGCAAATTTTGCATAAATGTGTTCTTTCACCGGACTTTTTCACACAGTCTCAGAGTAGCTTTGCATTATCACTGAAAAATTCATCAGTTTTTTTGTAGTCTATTGGGTGAAGTATTAAAAGTCAGATGCTGAGATTCCATCTCACTCCTGAAAGAATGGCTAGGATCAAGAAAACCAACAACAACAAGTGCTGGAGAGGCTGTGGGGAAAAAGGAACTCTCCTACACTGTTGGTGGGAGTGTAGACTGGTACAACCTTTGTGGAGGTCAGTCTGGAGATTTCTCAAAAAACTGGGATTGGAAGTCCCCTTTGTTCTAGCTATTCCACTTCTAGGCATATTCCCAGAAGAACTGAAAGCATCAAACCACAGTGATATAGGCACACATATGTTTATAGCAGCACAATTTGTAATCGCCAGATCTTGGAAACGACCCAAGTATCCATCAACTGAGGAATGGATAAAAAAGTTGTGGTATTTCTATACAATGGAGTACTACTCAGCTATAAAGAAGGATCACATTAAGATAGTTATCAATAAATGGGTGCAGCTTGAAACCATACTCATAAGTGAAATAAATCAAACTCGCATCTGTGAACACCGAATAGTTTCCCTAGTGTAGGAAATGATTCAAATATATAAAAGTATGTGGTAGCCATGATTTCCCATTATGTGGCCTTGAAGCCTTATAAAGTTTTCACTCATAAATTGGAATGGCTTTATTCTGGGCTGTTTGATATTATGGCCTGTGATATAATGAACAGCTATTTTAAAGAAAACAAGACATCATAATAGCTAGTGCTGATTTAATACCATCTTGTTTTAAAGCCCCACAAAACTATGGCTCTTCTGTCTCCATTGGTTTTATCATGTTGTATCTTGCTGAATTTTATCATATGTGGTAGTATAAACAAAAAGTGTTATAGGCAAAGAAACAATATAGAAACCATTGTTCATTTTTCTGTTAGCTGGTTCTAAATACTCTACAATGCTTTTATCCACTTGAATTGTTGTTACACTGTCTTGATATGTTTGATGCTATAGCATATGAAGTTATATTCAAATATTTCAAGGAAAAAGACACTATGGTAAGTACTATTAAGTCGGGTTATTTGGTGGTGAAGCACTAGGTTGCTGAAACTGTCATGCTTTAATCTGTATTGTTATATTGTTATGCCCTCTTTTATCTCAATCTCTCCCTTATTCATTAAAAAATTGTTTAATTTTTAAAATTTCTTTTTTAAACTAAGGGGAAAAAATAAAAAAAAACTAGCAGGATATATTATAGTAACTTTTTTGATTTCCTATTAACTTGATTTGAAGTCTTGTAATACTCCCACTATCTTGTTTTGACTGATAAGACTCTGTTCCACTCTGTATGATAGTATCAAGTATCAGAGTATAGGCAACTACTTTGAAGGCAGTAAGATTCACTATGATGCCCATTCTGGTTTGACTATTATCCTCTTTTGAGGTTCTGTAAGGTTTACAATGTTTAGGTTTTATTGGTCTTGTTCTCTACTGTTTTGTTCAACTTTATAATACCTAATGAGATAGACAATTCTTCTTAAGGAAGCAAGAGGCATTATGGTAACCATTGTTGATAACCTTGTGCTATGTCTATCCTTGGTTTTGACTGACAGCTTTGTTTTATCATGTTTGATTTTATTCTCTTACAAAAAAGGTAATAAGATCTGTGGGAACAATAAAACCCAAAATGTATAAATTTTGTTGTAATAAAGAGAGGGACAAAAAAGTGCCCTAAAGGATACAACAGCAAGTGTGTTTAGGTGTGTTAAATAGATGACCATATTAATATTTTTGATTGGATCATTGAACACAACTATTTGCAGTTTCACTGTTT